CCAACTCCAAGTTGTCTTGTGACATTATTTTACCAGGTTGCGGCATTATTCAAAATCGGGAACAGCAAAGACACCCCAGAAATTCCTGATCACCTTTCAAATGATGCAAAGAATTTTATAAGGCTTTGTCTGCAACGGAATCCGGCATTACGTCCTACAGCTTTCCAGCTTTTGGAACACCCTTTTCTTCGTGTTCACGCAGCAAGAGTAGCTAATACTATCATGCCCAAAGATGCCTCTCCACGTCCCTTTGATGGAAGCTGCACACTGGTAATGCCAATGGAGGTGTATTATGCATATGTTGAGCTTGATTACTTTGATTACCTGCCAACATGCTAAACTTGACTTTCTTCTTGCGCAGCCTACAAGGGAACCCTATCCAGGGAGATCAAGCCATGAGAATTACCTAACGCAGCCATTGGCTGTCTCGTCGAGAGCTATAAAGAGCCCGAGGTAAAAGACCTGTCCCTCAATCTACCTGATTGAAAAATAGTTCTTGATGCTTGTTTGTACAACTTATCCCATCTTTCATGCTTGCAGCAGAGAAAACATCAGAGCCATCACATCGTTGCCAGTATCTCCATGTTCAAGCCCTTTACGCCAACTTGGGCCGGCATACAAAAGTTGTTTTCTATCACCTCCTCACCCGTCTTATACATTTCCTGGGCAAGACAATGGGTACAGCCTAGCAGAGTTTGCTGTAAGCCCCTTTAGGGTCAAGAAAGACGCTATGATAGAACCATCTAGTTTCAGGGCTCAAACCCCGAATTCACCCCTGAGATCAAGACTGGTATAGAATGGAGCAAAGATTGAGAGCCCGAGAGACGCATCCCAATGACCATGTATAAACACAGTGCGTCCCCTGGTTTTGGCCTTGATCTATAGACCCTGAGTGATATGGCGTAATGATGCCTTAGTTGTGTATCTGGGGCATCTACTGGAAGTGGAGATTATTGGAGCTAGAAAGAGTGGTTGAGTGTAAATGGGGAAAAACAGAAAAGAGATGTAAAGCAACATGAAATGAATACAAATATTATAGAGTGAGAAGTAAAGATAGTAGTAAGTGGTGGTGTTATACAAAAATATGATATTCGACCATTTGTTCTCAACATCAAACCTGAGTGTCGTTTGCTTTGACCTGGATTTCTAGTACTTTACATACAGTGTGAATATAGTTTTTTTTTCAGAAAAAGGTCATGGGTTTGAATTGTCTTTAGCGTAACTGCACAAAAAAGCTTATAAAATGTTTTAGGGATTTCATAATCTTAATCTCCTGTTCGTGTAGACTTGGGCAGCTATGGTTTGTTCCGAATCAACACGAACTTTAAAGGCAGACGTAGACTGCGTCAAAGAGGGTATAATTACTGTGGAGAGAATTAGGCTAAAAGGTCAACGGTAAAAAAATGAATTTTTGATTTATACCATAAAAACATTATTGATAGAGTTTAAATAAGAAGATGCCATAAGAACCTTTGCTATCCAAAGATTATAATTAGAGATTAAGTTACATAGAATCAGAAGCAAATATTGTTGAAAAGAAATAATCAAAAGACTATACACAAAAACGAAAATGAATAAAAACGCAAAAATAATTAAAATAAATAAAATAAAAAGTAGCTATGTGTTGGAATAAAAAGCATAAATTATGATATTTAATTAATTTATAGAGATATTAATTGACTAAAAGCTAAAAGAAATTTATAATGTAGGTTTTGTAATATCTCAAACATGTTGCTGACTGTGTGGAGAGAAGGAAGTGGGCACAATATATAGACGAAATCTTTTACTAATTCTAGTCAACATTTCATTCAAAAATGAATAAACATATCTATCCAATCAAAGCCCCAAAATAACGTCTTTGGGCCTACGGCCCATTCCTATGGCGGTCCAATGAGTCGAACATGTGCACGTGCGTGGTCGAACA